TTTTCAGAAGCAACCCTATATCTAGTTTGAATTGTTTGGTCTCTTGGTATTTGAATGACAGGTAAATGAAGCTAGAAGTTTGGAAAGGGATCAAGTAGAGAGTGACCTAACTTTTGCAGGTTTTGCGGTAAACCACCCTCCCCCACTCCCATCCATAAATTTTATAATTTCTCAAGTTTGTTGATGTGCTCTTTTATGGTAATGGGGTTTTGTGGGCTTAGGTTTTCAACTGTCCTATAAGGAGTGACTCCGGTGCTGTCTTACAAGAACTGGAGCAATCTTCCCATGACTTGGTATGTACTCTTATTCATCTTGTGTCCATTCATCAAATTACAAGGGTGCGATATAGTGACATCTCCATGCATTGTGCAATATTACCTTGTTGAAGGATTTTTGTGGACCAGTTTCTATATGATCTTTATTATACACTATGCATCGGCCAATGCACTGGAAAATTTCCATTTGTGATTAAAGTTCTTACCACCTCCCTGATGTATTCTTAGGTTATGATCACTGGGGACCAAGCTTTGACTGCTTGCCATGTTGCTGGCCAAGTGCATATTTGTTCCAAACCTGTTTTAATTTTGACACGTACAAAGACTGGTGGTTTTGAGTGGGTTTCCCCTGATGAAACCGACAGAGCTCCATACAGGTAAGATATGCAAGGGTCTGCTCTATACTACTAAGCATTTTTAGCAAACATTTCATACTTTTTAGTTAATACATACTCCATTTTTTAAAACTCCGTAGATGACGCCATTGACTTTTGTATGACGTTTGACCATTCGTCTTATTCAAAAAAATTATATAAATGTTATTTATTTTGTTGTGACTTGTTTTGTTATTGAAGAAACTTTAAATACGAGTTATTCAAAATTTAGTGCAAACGTTATTCTAAAAGTCAATGGTGTCATCTATTAAAAAACAGAGGGAGTACTTTCCAAAGATTCTTTTGTACAACTGTTGTTTCTTTTCAGTGAAAAAATGAGTCTTCCTATTTGTGCTGGTGAATATTATTTTTTTCCTAGAATACGCATGAGAGCTGCGTATCATTGCATTAATAGAAGAAAACGAGGCGTCCAAGATGCTGTTACAACTGCTGAAAAGAAACAAGCTGACGAATATTCACATTTCTTCTTCTTTTATCTATGGCACAAACACTGTTGTTAGGAAAGAAATTCCTAGAATTTGGAAAATGATAAGCAGTGAATATGGTTTCTTTTCCTGATTAGTGATTAATATATAATTTAATTGTTATTCCAAATTCACTTTCATTACACAGACATAGAGCAACTACATCCATTATTTTACATCTCTGCCATCATGATGACTGTGTGGAACGTGTATCTTCTTTAATACTATGCCTAATGTGCTGCATTAATATTTTGTAGCGCTGAGGAGGTTGCCGCGGTGTCTGGATCGCATGATCTCTGCATCAGTGGAGACTGCTTTGAAATGCTACAAAGAACTGATGCTGTTATCCAAGTCATTCCATATGTGAAGGTATCTGAGAACAGATTACATCTTTTTGGTGCTTTTACGGTATCTTCTACTACCGGCGTTAGTATGCTAGTAGGGTCTAAATCTATCAGTTGATTTTCATGTGTACTTAGAACATTTCAGTAGAGGTTTAGCAAGGTAATTTTGACCATTCACCTGTCGTCGCATCACATGCCATTTGACATCTGAATCTATCTATCAACCAACATGCACTTTTATTCCAATTTTGGGGATGGAACCAAAATATCTGCTGTCCATACTACCAGGTTCAGTACCATAGAATCTTATCCATTAGGTCAAATGCAATGGATGGACCAAGGTTTATCCTAGGGTACTATAAAAAACAGTTAAAAGTATATTGAATCCTTATTCCCATTGTTTATTTTGTATGTGTTGTATTTTCAGGTTTTTGCACGTGTTGCTCCAGAACAGAAAGAACTTGTTCTGACTACATTCAAAACTGTTGGGAGGGTTACACTGATGTGTGGGGATGGAACCAATGATGTTGGTGCACTAAAACAGGTCAGTTCCCACTTTTTTTTTCTCAAGTTCACTATAGATTTACTCAAATATGTGTGCCCACAATACATTTGTTAATCACGTAGATGAAACTTTATCTGAACTACTCTGGTGTTATTGATCTTGTAGAGATATTTCTTACTGCATCTTTTCCTTTTTGTGTGTATTATTTGTACGTGTCATTTGGCCCTCAGATATAATTGTAACCACTATATCTTTACTATGCGTTATGGCTATGAGTTGATGGTTGCTGAAGGCCCCACCCTGGTCTTGGCGTTTGGCTATCTGTGGTACAAATGATATAGATGACTGGATAACGTTTATGCTTACATGCTAAACCAGCCGCACATCTGTTCTAGTTCTAGCATCAGCTGAGGTGGAAAATTTACTTTTCGCTTTCTTTTTCATGAAGTATTAAAAAACAAATCCAGAGACTTTGGATGAAGTTCTTTTCCCAAAATTGGTAATTGGCATGCCGAGAAATCTTAGCTGGGTGAATTTTTAACCTATTCAACACAAGAATCAAGAATCAAGCAGAGCTTGCATTTGGCTTTAGGATTAGCTGTCCTGGATCATTCAATTAAATAAAACCTGAACACCTTTGTTTGTTTAAATGGGATGGGATGGTATATAGAACCTACTTTTACTAACACCATCTTTAGCTGATGGCTTGGGAAATACATGTCCATGTAATAGGTGTTAGGCATGTTGACCTGTATTAGCTTGGTATTTTCTTCCATTCTATCAGTGGTCTGTTCTGCAAGCTTAACTGTAACTGAAAGGTTACTTCTAAATTGATAGGCCTGAGGCATTTCTATCTAGTACTTTCTTGTCAGGTATTATTGCTTCTATTGATGCTTTAAATCTATATGAAAGAGATGGGGTGCATAATTACAACAATATTTGATGGGAACAGTTTTTTTGTGATCTCCAAATTTTCAGGCTCATGTTGGCATAGCTCTTTTGAATGCTGAACCTGTCCAGAAATCAGATACAAAATCCCAGGCATCAAAATCTGAAAATAAACAAGGGAAGTTGAAAAAACCGAAACCTTCTCAGGAAGGATCATCATCACAATTGACCCAACCAGCTAACAGCTCCGCTAGAGCATCCAGTAGCCGCCCTTTAACTGCAGCTGAGAGGCAGAGAGAAAGACTGCAGAAGATGATGGATGAAATGAATGAGGAAAGTGATGGCCGTTCAGCTCCTATTGTGAAGCTTGGGGATGCTTCCATGGCTTCACCTTTCACAGCAAAGCATGCCTCTGTTGCCCCTACACTTGACATCATCCGCCAGGGGAGAAGCACCCTAGTCACTACCCTTCAAATGTTCAAGATTCTTGGGCTCAACTGCCTTGCCACTGCATACGTTCTGAGTGTCATGTACTTGGATGGTGTCAAGCTGGGTGATGTTCAGGCTACTATCAGCGGGGTCTTCACTGCAGCTTTCTTCCTCTTCATTTCCCATGCTCGTCCCCTTCAAACACTGTCTGCAGAGCGGCCTCATCCAAACATATTCTGTGCATACGTCTTCCTTTCCATTCTTGGTCAGTTTGCCATGCACTTGTTCTTCCTGATCTCAGCCGTCAATGAAGCAACCAAGTATATGCCAGAGGAGTGCATTGAGCCTGATTCAGAGTTCCACCCAAACCTTGTGAACACAGTTTCATACATGGTGAACATGATGATCCAGGTTGCAACCTTTGCAGTAAACTACATGGGGCACCCATTTAACCAGAGTATAACAGAGAACAAGCCCTTCAAGTATGCTCTATATGCAGCAGTTGCTTTCTTCACAGTGATCACATCAGATATGTTCAGGGATCTAAATGACTACATGAAGCTTGAACCCCTGCCTGAAGGAATGAGGGGCAAACTGATGCTTTGGGCTATCCTTATGTTTTGTGGCTGCTATGGATGGGAGCGGATTTTGCGATGGGCGTTCCCAGGCAAGATGCCAGCATGGGAGAAGCGTCAGAAACAGGCAATTGCAAATCGGGAGAAAAAACACGAATAGGATCTTGTTTTTTTTTCCTTCACTTCAATTTTTTGCTCCACTGGCATAGTTTCAATCTAAATAGGCCTTACCAAATTTTGTCAGTGCCAAATTTTGATAAGTTTTGGCATGACTAATTTTGGTAAGGCAAAGTTGTGTTTGGATTGAAGCCAAAATAACCTAAGTTCACTATTGAAATGGTCTATTTTCTTAGATATGCCAAAATTTGGCTTCAAACCAAATAGATACTAAATACTATTGAAATTGCAAAATATTGGTAAGCCTAATTTAGGCCTCAAACCAAACCAGCCCGTAGTTTAGGAGAATTTTGTCGGACTGTAGGCCCCATTACTAGGAGATACATGGTCAATATCCATTCTGCTTACATGTTGGATGAAGATTTTAAAATTTTCCATATCTTATGCTAATGTTATAGCATTGATGGTTGTACAATGAAGCTGAATTGCTACAGCAGTTCTCTCACGGCAGAAGTTATCCGAATTTACTTTACATTTTATCGATTTATGGATTTTCCACGCCTGTGGCATTTTGTTTTGGTGGACTTAGGTAGGGTGGTGAATCTGCCTTGAAGCATAGCTTCGATTGAGCTGATAAGGTCCAGCGATTTCCAAGGTGATCGCAAAATTGGGGTAACGTCTACTAGACCAAATTGCTATTTACACTAAATCTGCCGAGTAGCGGTTTAAGGCCTTATTTAGTTGGGAAAAAAATTGTTTTGGGGTGTCGCCTTGTTTAGTTGGCAAAAAAAAAAAAAATTTAAGATGTCACATCGGATATATAGATATACATTTATATCAGATTACAACTACGAGATAAATTTATTAAGTCTAATTAATCCATCATGTTTTGTCTCACAATTTACACGTAATGTGTCAAATATTCGATGGGATAGGGTGAAAATTTTTGTTTTGGAAACTAAACAGAGCCTAATTCCATCCAGCAAAATCATCCATCACACAGAGAACTGATAAAAACGATATTTCAATCCAGGCAATTGATATTTGGTAATGTGTTACACAAAAAGGTTCCAGAATTATTACGACAAGACATTTTAGATAACCATAGATTGCCCTCTAGATATCAAAACCACATTAAGCAACAGCCGCAGAATGTTCCAATGGTAGCCAGCACCTCCCAAGGCAAATCAGTACTTGTAGTCCTTGACGTGAAGGCTCTCGGAGGCGCCCTCGCCGAGGACAGCGTCACCCTTGTATGTACCGAGGGTAGCCTCGGAGTTGGCCTTGCACCTGGTAAGGAAGGCCGCCCTGGCCTTCTCAATGTTCTCCGCCTTGCCGGACCAGGCCTTGAGCGTGCTCTGCTGGAGGGCACGGCCGAAGGAGAAGGACAGCGACCACGGCTTCTTGGTGCTGAGCTTGTTCATGGCGTTGAGGTTCAGGGTCGCCTCCTCCTCGCTCTGCCCACCGGACAGGAAGACGATGGCGGGCACGGCAGCGGGGACGGTCCTCTGGAGGGTGCGGACGGTGTACTCAGCGATGACCTCGGGAGACACCTTCTTGGCGTCAGAGCCTGGGGTGACCATGTTGGGCTTGAGGAGGGTACCCTCGAGGAGGACATGGTGCTCGTTGAGGGCCTTGTAGCACGCAGCGAGGACCACCTCCGAGACGTAGGCGCAGCGGTCGATGTCGTGAGGGCCATCAACAAGGATCTCGGGCTCGACGATCGGCACCAGCCCGTTCTCCTGGCAGATGATGGCGTAGCGAGCGAGGCCCTGCGCATTCAGATCAATGGCGAGCTGCGACGGCTCGTTGGGGCCGATCTTGAGGACGGCGCGCCACTTGGCGAAGCGGGCACCAGCCTCGTAGTACTTGGCGCATCTCTTGCCAAGGTCATCATGGCCCTGGGTGGTGGTCTCCTTCTCGGTGCCGGCAACCTCGATTGTGCCCTTGTCCACCTTGATGCCCGGGAGGACACCACCCTCCTTGAGGACATCGACGAAGGGCTTGCCATCCTTGGTCTTCTGGTACAGGGTCTCCTCGAAGAGGATCACGCCGCTGAGGTACTGGAGGGCGCCAGGGGTGCAGAAGAGGAGCTCGCGGAGGGAGCGGCGGTTCTCCTCAACGTTCTCGACGTTGATGCTGGCGAAGCGCTTGCCAATGGTGCCAGTGGACTCATCCGCAGCAAGGATACCCTTGCCAGGAGTGCCAATGTAGGCAGCGTTCTTGATGAGCTCGTCTGCAAGATGGCAAACACTATATTATTAACAAAAAAAAAGCAGCATCTCTGTATGGCCTAAATAATAGATCTATCCAAATTGCCAGGCATAAACTATGTCCAATGCTCAACTAGACCACCGAAAGGCTGTCACTTGAACAGATCAATATTAGATATAAAATTTCTGCTAACAGAACATGCATGTCTAGATCAACCCAACTTATTTCTGTCCCAAATAATACACGACTTATAACTAAAGAAACACTATGCATAATTTAAATCACTTGAACAGATCAATATAGATAGAAAATTTCTGCTAACAGAACATGCACGTCATCTAGATCAACCAACTTATTTCTGTCACAGATACTACACGACTTATAAGTTATAACTAAAGAAACACTATGCATAAACTAAATCAATATGGCAGAAAATATGTTTTATAATCAATCTTTTAACACACAAGAACAAGATCTGCTCCACTTATCACTAAAGAACCCTTATGTATAAACTAAGCCAATATGGCATACAGTAAGTCAACTAGTAACCAATCTTTAACCTATAGACACAACAAAAGATTTCACGATTACGATCACATAAATAAACGCCACTCCATCGATTTACTGTTCCCGAACAGATCTACTAACAAACTCACCCCGAAAACCCAACACAAGAACTAGATCTAAACAGCACGCAACTGAAAGCACGAACAGATGGAGAGAGGAGAACGACATGGAGAAGAATGCTGATGGATGGATGGATCCATACCCTTGTACTTGCCGCAGTAGGCCGACATGGTTGCGGGCGGAGCGAACGAGGGAGGAGGCTACGACGAATAGGGAGATCGAGGAGAGGAAGGAGGCGGCGGCTGTGGGGAATGAGGCGAGAAGGGAGGGGGAGGGGGGTGGCCTTTTGAAGGGGGGCGATGATGAGTTGATGACCCGATCCGATCTGTGGGCGTCCGGCCGCCTTGTAGGAGGGGTAAGAAACCAACAAATCGGGTGCCAGTGTGCGCCGCGAGTCTGCGACCCGTCCGATCCGTGGGAAGCCGAGGAGGCGGCTGCGGCGCGCGGCGGCGGCCGCCACCTGTGGCGTGGGCCGGGGTCCTGTCCTGGTAGGTGAGGTGCCCGCAATTTTGGGCCGAGATAGATTTGACGAGAATTTTTTTCGGTTTTAGATTATTTTTTTTAATATTTACAGAAATAATATATCGACCAAAAAATTGCAGAAATAGCCCCTACCGCCCACCTCTAGGGCGACAAGCTGACGTGGCAAACGGGGGAGGAACGGGCGGTGACAGAGGGAGGGTTTTTTTTTAGGAAAACCCGGCGGCAAGGGGCCCGAATGCAAAAAAAGCCAGTCGGGGCCGGCTATTTTGCAGGCGGCCCCTTGCCGCCCTCTGGCCGGGCGGCAGGCCTCGTTGCCTATAAAAGGCCTGCTGCCCATCCCCCAGCCGTCATTCTTCTCTCCTCAATTCCAGTGAAAAAAAAAGAAGAGAGGGGAGGAGAAGAGAAGAAGGGGCGAAGCCCTGCCGGATTCAGACACCGATTTCAGGTAATATTCATAGATCCTATATGTGACTATTGAGTTAAATAGTGTGTATTCTTTAAAAATTTGTTTGAATAAATGCATTATATTTTTAGGGTTTTAGTTGTACTAATCTAGAAGTGTGTATTGTAGATATCGGTAACTACGTAGATCTGCTAGTTTGGAATTAATACATTACCGTTGCATTGGCTTACACAAGAAGATATTACGTTGTAGATGTTTATTGCATGAAAGAGTAATATGATCTAGTTATTTCGTTGACAGATATGTCGAACAAACAAATATTCCAAGTTTACCATGGACCAGGAAACGTTCGTTACGGGCCAACTGGGGTAGATCTGTCAGATTTTATTGTATCAGAAAGGGGAATTGATAGACCGGCTGAGAGGAGTGTACCTTCTATAAAAGGATGGTTAATGAGGGGCTTCAGAGTTGATCCACAGACAAGTGACATAACAATCAATGTTATAGTAAGTCGGGCAACTGAGGGTTTTTATTGGGAACTAATGCCAGTTCAAAACTCTCGAGTGTGGAGATGGTATTTGGAAAATGCATTGCAACGCGGGTGGCCTCTAGCTTTGGTTCCGTTTGTTCACCCAAAGGATCCAGGTGTGCAGACGAACATGGATGATGGCGAGGGACCAAGTGCTGAAGTAAACGAGACTTCTGTGGAGGAGGTCAACGCACGAGAGGACGGGGGCGTAGTAGCTCCAGTGGGCATTCAACCAGGTGGAGTGGCCGACGAGGGGGAGACTGTCGGTGCCATTGTGGATGAAATGGAGAGGGACGATTCTGACAACGAGCGTGTAGAGGAAGGTGATTCGTCAGATGATGAGACGGATATTAATCCAGCAGAATGGGCTAGTGAGGATTTTTCTGGGTTGATCGTCTCTGAAGAGGATAGTGTGAGATGGGAGTACAAAGAAAATGAGGTTATTCAGGGAGCGATTTATAGTAGAGCAGAAGATATGAAATAGGCGGTAAAACATTTTGCAGTGTCACTTCATAGAGAGTTTTGGGTTGCCAAGTCGAACCGGTCGCAATATGAAGTTCGGTGTGTTAAGGAAAAAGATGGTTGTCCCTGGAGAGTGCACGCGTATAAGGGGAAATGGAAGGATTATTGGACAGTGTCAGTTGTTACCAAGCATACATGTTTTCTACCTGGTGTTCAGAAATACCACAGGAACATTACATGTGCATTTGTTGCATCTGAGATGTATGCGCATGTCATCGATAATCTCACATATGAACCAAGGTCAATAATCCGACACATTGAAGAGACATACAAGTATACTATTAGCTATGCCAAGGCCTGGAGGGCCAAACAGAAAATAATAGAGATGAGATTTGGAACTTACGAAGCCTCGTATGACAATTTGCCACGCCTGCTTGGTGTTATCGAGGAAAGAAACCCTGGGAGCTCTTACGAAGTGAAGAAATTCCCCTCAATTGAACATCCTGACAAGAGTGTGCTGCAAAGGGCGTTCTTAGCTCTACATGCATGCAAGATGGCATTCGTGAACTGTTGTCCTGTTCTCTGCATTGATGGGACATTCTTGACAGGAAAGTATCGGGGCCAGATACTAACAGCAATAGGGGTAGATGGGAACAATCAGGTATTGCCCTTGGCATTTGCTTTTGTTGAGAGTGAGAATACCGACAGCTGGTACTGGTTCCTGAAATTGGTTAAAACAAAAGTTGTTGGTATGAGGCCAAATGTATGCCTGATACATGATAGGCACGCTGGCATTCTGTGAGCGATAGGAGAGTTGCAGTTTGGGAGTATGGAATGAGGATACCCCGGTATTTGGGAAGATGTATAGAGTAGGTGGTGCATGCGTCATATGGGAGCTAATTTCTTCAAGCAATTCAAGAACAAGGAGCTCATGAACATGTTCAAGAGGCTGTGCAATCAGAACCAGGAGAAAAAATTCAATGAGCTTTGGAAGAGATTAGATGAGTTGACAGCCAAATGCAGTGATCAGCGTGCAGCGGCTCCATCGACCGCCGTTGCTGACCCTCCTCAAGCTCTTGGACCTCTCCCAACGGATAGTCCAACATTGGTTAGAAGAACTGGATTGGAGATTCGGAAATTTTCTCAGTGGATTCTGCATGAACCAAAAGAGAAATGGGCCAAGGCGTATGACACAGGTGGTGCTAGATATGGAATAATGACAACAAATTTGGCAGAAGTTTACAACTGGGTGATGCGCGGTGTCCGTGGACTGCCACTAGTTGGCATAGTGGAGTTCATTTTACATGGAACATGCAGGTATTTTAGGGATCGGTTCCAGGAAGTTCTTCCCTCTATGCCGAACAACAGCATTTTGTTTGGAGCTTTCATGCAGAAAAAGCTAGAGGAGTTGCGTAAAAAGGCCATGAAACATCGAGCTCTAGTGCAAGGTACCCAACAGCACAGGTTTGAGATACTATGTCAAGATAAGGCAGGCAGGGGTATCTACCGCAAGAGAGTGAAGCAGGAGTGTGTTCTCAAAGCCGACGGCACATGTCATTGCTCTTGTGCAAAGCCGAAGCTGCTCCACAGGCCATGCACCCATGTCATTGCTGCCGCAGCGGAGTGTGGCATACCAGATGCAGTATATGTGTCACAGTACTTCAGTAAGCAAGTAATATATCATACATGGAGCGGCGAGATTTATGGGTTCGGCATAGCTGGGGAGTTCACAGAGACTAACAATGAAGTACTCAATATTCCTGACCCATCGAAGCTCCGAGGCAAGGCTGGAAGGAGGAGGACTCGTCGCATCCGCAACGATATGGACGAGTCGGAGGCTGGCAGGGTGAAGCGTTGCAGCAAATGCGATGAACATGGGCACACCTACAAGCATTGTCCTAAAGACAAGGAGAAACCAAGTGCGGCGGAGGCAGGACTATTAGGATCAGCAGCAGATGGAGCTCGCCCTACGGGTGAAGGCACTACCTCCACTCGACCACGTCCTAGGCGTCGTCGTGCCACGTCTGGCTACGTGGTGTAGTTTTTATGTTCTATGTCGGCATGTGGATTTGCTTGTAATTCGTTTCGAACTTATCGATGTGTTTATGTTTCGTCGTGTAATGTCAGACTTCGGCATGTCATGTCTTTAGGTCTCGTGATGTAACGTCGGACTAAGGCGCCTAACGTCTTTAGGTATGCTGATGTATGTCGGACTTCGACACGTAATGTTATGTTATATTATTGAACTCTACATATATGTTAAATTGCATGTCATCGTTATGTACCATTAGTAACGTTTGCTATATTTAAATAGCCTGTACTCTTGTTGTACATAATTAATCTCATGATTTTATTACTATTTCATAATTTTGCAAGTTATCTTTTGTTTTACAGTACTATTTTTTGAATTGTTCTAACACGAAACACTATATTTTTCAGAGATGGCACGTCAGGATACACCTCAGTTGTTGGACCCGGCGATAGATCACCGACACCGGTCTCACCTTACTGCGGTGCAGGGGGCTCAGCTTGGGACGTTCCGGGCACGGACGTGCGGTGAGCTACTCACGGTTCACGACTCCTTTGTCGAGAGGTACGAATAGTGTTTTACTATAAGTTAGTTGCACTATAATATTTTTTATAATGACATATTAATTTGTTATTGCAGGCTACGTGAGGCCGGCCTCCTACCGATGTGTCGGCTGGTGGAGGCTGCGGCCGGTGACGCGGACCCGGCCAGACGATGGACTGTGGACAGGTCCCTCCTAGCAGCTTTGGTCGATCGATGGAGGCCAGAGACGCACACTTTTCACTTGCCGTGCGGTGAGGTAGCCCCTACCATACAGGACGTATCGTACTTATTGGGGCTACCGCTCGCGGGAGACGCTGTTGGGCCAGTGACCACGGCTGTGGACTGGCAGGATGATCTGACGGCACGTTTCGCACTAGTACAGCGCGCACCGCACCTCCCATTCGAGCCGTTGGCACACCACCGCAACACCGGACCTACGAAAAGGTGGCTGCTTCAGTTCACCGTGAGTGTTTTTGTACCGAAATGACAATCGTATTACATATTTAGTCCGCAGTTAAGGTGCCTAACATTTTATCGACGGCTTGCAGGTTGAGCAGCTACAGGCGGAGGCCGACGAGTACTCCTACAGCCGATGTTTGGAGGCGGACTTGCTCTGGCTTTTTGGCTGGGTGATGTTCTGTGGCGGTCACGGGCACGCGGTCGACAAGGGACTTGTGCACTACGCCAGGAGCATCGCTGACGTCGCGGTAGGCGAGGTGTCTCAGTGGAGCTGGGGTTCCGCGTTGTTGGCGGCTCTGTACCGTGCACTTTGTGAGTCTTGCACGAAGACGGATCCCAGCGCGACCTTTGGTGGGTGCCCTCTCTTTCTTTCTATCTGGGCAGCTGAGAGGATTGCGATCGGCCGCCCTGAGGTGGACCAGCACGCGTACGAGGAGTCACTGTACGAGGAGC